AAGAAAACCTAATTTTGTCCAAGTAAAATATGCAAAATATGTTAAAATTTTTAATTAAAGTAATTTTGAAATTGTAGCCTATGAAGTAGAATATTTACTAGAGAAATGTTCTCAAGAATCAAATAATCTCAAATGGGACTAGAACTGTGTAAGGACATGTTGCTTAACATTCTCAATATGTTTTGTGAAATAAGACTTATGGTTATTTAAGTGTTGTGAAAAGACTATGTAACATGTATACATATATTTGTATATGTTCAATAAATATATATAAGAGTAACCCCCTTACAAGTTGCTCTGGCTCTCCACTAGCCTAAAGCCCCCAGGACTGCAAACTTGTGCATGCAATTGGCTACCTCTTGGACATGTGTGGTGCTCTTTGAGCAGCCGTGAGGAATCTGGTTGGAGTCAGAAGCCCTGAGGGCCACAGCCCAACTTCTGGCCACCAGCACTGATCCTGGTGGTGACCAGGTAGTTCAACCACTGAAAGCCACACTATGGTTCAAGGGCTGTGGCTTGACCAAGCAGGTAAGAGAGACAAATTGCTGACTCCTGGTCACAACCTTAATGCAGGCCCTGTGTCCTGGTGCATTGCAAGCAAGACCCTCCTCCCTGCCATATAGACATAATATGAGATTAGATGTTGCTGGAGTAGATGCTATATGGCATATACCTGTATTTAAAAATAAGGAAAGATAGGCTAGGTTAGAGGCTAGACTAACAGAAGGAGCTCAATATATTTGGTCAATAAACACATTGAAGACTTGGTGAAGATCTTTGTTTATCAGAGATAGATAAAGGCAATTTTTAAAAAAAAAATATTAGTTCTCAAATCAAAAATATTCTTTTATGTCTATAGGTAAATTAATGCTCTGTCTTCTCAATTTTAATAGAATATCTTAGTTGCTTTGTAAGAACAAAAGGAAAATATATTTAGTATTAGATGTGAATAAGTTTTAAAAGATTTGTTAATATTTTGATAAATGAAAGTAGTTTGGACAAATATGCAAATAAAACAATGGGATAAGTGTAAGTTCTAGGGTGCTGATGGTGGAGACTATAAATAAAATACATTCATCACTTAACTAAGTTGTAGCAAAATATTTTGTGATTCTTATAATAATTTCTAATTTTCTCTCTTTCTATATAGATGGACACCATTTCTATCTGACAATCACACTAAAAAGAAATTCAAAAGGGAAACATTATCATGTAGCAATGGAAAGCTTTACAATGCTGGAGAAGGGAAAAAATGCAGATGACTGAAAGTGAGCTTGCAATGTTCAGCAAGCTTTCTGAAAGACATTTTTTTATTAAGAAAGTTTGTCTGACATGATAAAGGTAGGAATATAGTTGGTGTCAGGGCCTTACAAACTGTGTGACATTTAAATGGTAGACTGGTGAATTAAGTCATAAAAAGCAGAAACCTCCAGAAACCTGGCAATCTCCTGGCTTTCAATGGAAAGGAAACCTCATTAGGTCCTACCCTTCTTTCAAATCCCCTTCCTTCCACAAAAATGGGTTAGACCGCGAGCCTTTCCAACTATTGCTATTGAAGGCATCTGTGGAAGTAATCTTGCAACACAGAAGTGTAAAGAAACATATTGTGAGGTTGTCATCATTGTATAGTAGCTATTTTTGTTGTGAGTTACTCTCTAGTTGATTCTGAGTAGAACTACTCCATAGGGTTTTCAAGGCTGTGACCTTTTGGAAGCAGATTCCCTGTCCTGCCTTCCAAGGGATATCTGGATGCACTCGCACTGCAAAGCTTTCAACTAATAATAAAGAGCTTAACCACCCAGGTGCCACACAGGACGCCCCTTGTAACAATCAAAATCAGAAAACTGCTAGAACTAAAAGTACAATTTGGGAAGCCTAAGCAAGTAGAGATTTCTTCATTAAATATAATTTGAGTTGGGTATAAACAAATACAAAACATAAATCCAGAAGACATCAAAATCTGAAATAGGATTGTAGTCACACCAGAAACAGAATAGCATCAGAACCATACTGTACTTACTCAAGGGAATTAAATACATCTTCTCTGTGTTTACACTCACACACAAACTCATGTCAACATATATATTACATTCAAGATAACTCTATATAATGCCCCCAAAATGTGAGTTGAGTTCTTCTCCATTAATACTTTTGTTGTAATTGTACTGAGTTAGAATAGAACCACAAACATGTTGCTAAATAACTAAAAATACTGCATACATGACAGACACAATATTTTTAAAAATGACGTCTGAATGAGGTCTCTTTCCATTGAGCTATATCACCTACACTCACAGACATATGCACACATAGGTAGTAATTTGCATACTATTTTTTCTTAAAACTGCAGTATCACCAGGTTGTGTTTCTGAGAAAGGTAAAAGGAGATTTTTTTTTTTTAATTTAACAGTTTGGAAGCTAATATATTTTTGATTATTGTACATATTTTACATAAACTCAACTTTGAAAATTAATGCAATGTATACTTGCTAAATTAGGAAAATATTATAATTTTAGTTATTTTAA